AATACTCCCATTTGCAACAACGTGGACAAACCTGAAGAAATTTATGTTGAGTGAAACAAGCAAAGCACAGAGGGATAATTACCTCATGTGTTCACTTATTTGTGGGAGCTAAGAGAGAAAGGAAGGCAGGAAAGAAAGACCACAGTAGTCCCATGATCCAACAGAGGGAGGGAACATTCCTAGGGCTACAAATTGAAGTTGAGGGGAGGGGGGAGGGGGAGAGAGGTTGGGGGATAATCGGAAGGGGGCAAAGGATACAAAAGCAATTTCTGGAAATGGATATGTCCTCAATATGAATCTGGCCCCCACATCATGGCAGGAGGGGGGACAATAAGCTTTGTATCTCATGAATATTCAAAATAAATAAATAAATAAATAAATATTTAATGTCTGCCCTGCTGGGTTTCAGACTTGTTTGGGCCCTGTTTCTCTTTTCTTTTGGCCTATTTCTCACTTTTGGAATGGAACTGTGTACCCAGTGTCTGTTCCACCATTGTATCTTGACAGTAGATAAATTAGTATTTGATTTCTACAGGATCACAGCTGTAAGGAGTTTTGTGTTTCGTCTTACATGACTTTGGACTTGCAGGTTGGTGCTGAAACTAAGACTTTTGGGACTATTGGGATGGAATGATTGTATTTTGTATGTGAGAGGGATATGAGTTTTGGGGGGCCAAGGGCTGAATGATAGAGTCTGGATATATTATACTCCCAAAGCTTATATCAAAATCTGATCCCCAATGTGGCAGTGTTGGAAAGTGTTTGGGTCGTAGGGGATAGATCCCTCATGAATAGATTAATACCCTGGGGGCGGGGGGAAAGGAGGGTTCATGAGCTCTCACTCTATTAGTTCCTGTGAGAGTTGGTTATTTAAAAGGACCCTGGCACCTCTTTTCTCTCTCTCTTGCTTTCTCTTGCCATGTGATCTGCTTGTACCCAATGGCTGCCTGCTGCTTTTCGCCATGAGTAGAAGCAGCCTGAGGTCTGTGTCAGATGCACCTGTCCCAGAATTGTGAGCCAAATAAAACTTTTTTCTTTATAAATTACCTGATCTCAGGTGTTCTGTTACAGCACAAAAAAATGGACTAAGACACCAGTCTTTGGGCATTTTGCCCTTGCCACCATAACTCAGCAGCCTCAACACTCCTTTATACCTCTTCCATCAAGGTACATTCATTCACTTTTGAACTTTTTAAGTAAAAATTTTAGATTTACTTTAGTATTTCTGTTTTATTAGGCATTTAGCATTTTTTTTTTTTACCATGCGAATATTTTTATTAGGATTGTTACTTTTTCGTTGATGCCCTGGTTACAAATTTGTATAGATTTTGAGAGGTGTGCTCCTAATATTATTTTTCCCATAAGCTCTGTTAATTTCAACGTGAATGCTAATTTTAATGTTAATTTTGCAGAATGCTAGGTTTATCAGGAAGACAAATATTGTGATAATGCAGAAATTGCATAATGCAAAATAAACATCCCTGTACATGTATGCATAAACCTATAATAATGTTTTCATTCTTAGTAGCAGTGATGGACTCTTGACATTCATTTTGACTTCCCAATTTCTAAATCTCTTTGGAGGAATCACTTCTACCTCTTATGACTTTGATGGGAGCAAAGATTGACTCTTAATATAAAGTCTAAAAATTCTGGACGTTCATTTTCTTAGCTGTCTCTATAGCCAGGGGTTAGGCCTATGCCACAGGCTCTGCCAGTCAGAGGCAGTCATGCCAAGACTCTGGCATGGAAGCTATTGACACTACAACCAAGGGGCCGGGAGCTCCCTGTCATTTCTGTGGTGATGGTGTCAGTCTTACTTCCCCAGAATGGTTTTGGATCATAGCTCTGAGTGTTTTTTCCTGCTTAGTCTAGAGCTAGATCTTCAGACCTTGTGATAATTCATGATCTACTCACTATTTGTTCAAAAAACTTTTCTACTTCATTCAGCCAGAATTAGCTTCCATTGCTTAACGGGAAGAACCCTGGATAATGTGGTAGTTAGTATTATAATAAATTCAGTATCTTTCTAACATCTGGTGTATCCACTACACTAAGGGACACTCATATTGGCAAATTATCTATTACAGAGATCTATTGCTGCATCTAACAAACCACCTCCAAATCTTAGTAGCTTAAAACAATAATTTGTTTTTATATTTCATGGTTCTGGGGGTTGACTAGGCTCAGCAGGGTGGTTTCCTCCTGGGATCTCTTATATAGATGAAGTCAGATAGTGGCTGGCTCTAGAATCACCTGAAAACTGGACTAGGCTGGTCATACAAGATAGTTCCTTCACTTATAAGTCTGGTTCCTGTCCTCTCTCTCTTTTCACACAATGTCTCATCTTCTAGGGCTTCTCCATGTGGCTTGGGGCTCTTCACAGCATGGTGATCTCAGAGTCGTCACACACCAGATGCAGCTGGATTCCAAGAGGCAGGAAATTAACTCTTATGGGCTACAACTGGAATTGACACTGTGTGACCTCCATATTCTTTTGGTCAAAGCAGTCACAGGGCCTGCCTGTGTTCAATGGAGAGAGGGGTGTGTTTGGAGAAATAGACTTCAGTCCTTGAAGCAGGAGTAGCAAGGTCACACTACCACTGCCAGAGATATTTTTGTGGCCATCTTTGGAAAATACAATCTGCCACACTATCCTTAAGGGGATAGGTACCATCCAGAGAATGATACAGAAAACATTCATGGGCTGGCTGGTTAGCTCAGTTGGTTAGAACTTGGTGTTCTAATGCCAAGGTCAAGGGTTTTGATCCCTGTACTGGCCAGCTGCAAGCAAACAAACAAAAAACCCTTCAGCAATGTGGGTATTAAAAGGCAAAGTGCCTATCCTTAGGCATCAATGGAATACACAAAATCTGCAGTGGTATGGCTATTAAAGGTAGGTGTTCACATCTCAGTGGAGATACTCCCCCTCTCATTTTGCACAGAGCAATGTGGGGATCCCTAAGAGTTTTAGAATTTGAGGGGAAAGTTTCTCCCAGTTATTGGCTTTTATCATCACTTGGGAAAATCTACCAATTGGCTCAGGACAAAAACCAAATTTATTGGCTCAAGAAGCTGAAAGATCCAGGGGCTAGTCTGGCTTCAGACATGGCTGGATTTAGTGCTTAAATTGTGTTGTTAGGACTCAATTTCTATCTCTTTGCTTTGCTGCCCGCATTTTTGACTTCCTTCTCAATCTCCATTTGACTTCCTTCTCAAGTTCCTCCAGAAGCTCCAGGCTCTCCCTCCATGGTGACAAGATTGCTGGGGCAGCTCTAACACTACAGTTTCTGAGATTACAGTTTAGCTCCAAAGAGAGGGTCTTTTCCAGTGCTTTCTGAACAAGTCCTGATATTTATTCTGATTGAACCAGTTTAGACCATGTTCCCATCTCTGAACCAATCACTGTAGGCAGAGGGAAACGCAGCACATTCAGTGGCATAGGCCTGAGCCATGTGTTCTGTCCCAGACCCAGTGAAGGAACCCCAGTGGGTGAGGGCGATCTATAGTGAGAGTCAGGAGCTGTTGCTGGAGAAGGGAAGAGAAATGCTAGGGAGGCAAACAATTATTAATGTTATTATTACTACCACTATAATTATTTTTAAGCTACTAGTATATGTATGAGTTCATTTAATCCCTCATGCCTGGCACATAGAAGCTGCATAAAACATGTTGAACGAATGGGCATTTTACTAGTGATAAACTTTAGTTCAGTCCTTTAAACCACCAGTCAGACAGACCTGCCAAGAGTCAGGTGCATGAAGGAAAGAAAACAGTACTCCCTTGAAGCATAAATGATTTTAAGCATAAAATCAGATTTTAAAGCAGTTCTTCTCCAGACCTTTGTGATTAGATTGTTTTGATTAGAGAGGCAGCATTTGTACATGTTATAAAGTAAAGTGCATTTTGTGTTGCTATATCAGTGGATGGTTTTAAGTCTCTCTCTAGGCAAGTGAACCTGACATACTTCATTTTCAGCAGAATTGGAATGTTTCCAAAATGCACTTTCAGATGCTGCAAATGCACCTCCTTTCTGGTGCTAAGCAGGAAGCCTTCCTACCCCCTGGGGGAGAGTGGAGATTAGAGAGGAGAAAGAGCAAGGAGCTGTCAAGTTAGCTTCAGCAGTGCAGAGGTAAGGTACTTTCTTTCACCCCTTTCCACTCCTATTGCTCACCTTTTTTTTTTTTTTTTACCTTCTAAACAAAGAAAAGCAGCTCTTCACTATCCAGGCCCATGATTTTTGGTGGAAGACAGGATGCGAGAAATTATATGAATGACTATTTCTGAATTCTCCCAAGGGTGATACTAGGAATGGCACACAACTAGTACCAACCATTCTTGATGCATCGACTCCAGTTCATTGATAACTAGTACCAAAGGATGCATGGAGCCCAGTTACTACATTACATACAATGGATGCCTAAAAGGGTACTACTAGGGAATAAGTTTCTCACAGAACCCATGTTGAGAAAGGCTGAGTCAGACCTTGTGCATCATCATCTTGTTTCATTTGCCTACCTTATTATCTATTGAAGAATAAAAAGTTGATGATTTTCTCTGGCCATGGACAGGAAGGCAAATCAAGATCCACCAAATACATACACACACACACACACATAAATGAATATGTGTGTGTTTGACATTGGATTTGTATAATACACAGTATGTTCAATATGTATTATATAATATATATGTTCAATGTCCAATATCTATTATATATTTCAATGTGTCTGTTTATATGTATGCATATATACATACATATGTACATACATAAACACACGTATATACATATGAAAATATATATCCATATAACTTTTTTTTAACTTCAGGATGAAATAAATATGAAGTATGAAATATGAAGTATGAAGGAGAGAAAATCCTTCCTCAGCACTCAGGGACTCCCCCTTGGAGGTGGCAGAAATTGCTGCTGAGGAGCCCAGCGTGAGGAGAGAATGGCAGCAGAGTCTGCTTTGGTCCCCAGCCCTGCCCCCATCACTGGACTCATTAGTTCTACATGGAGAAGGCAGGTGCTTTCCCCTGACAGCATCTGCCTAGGAGGCTGTGGCAGGGAGGAGAATCAGGCAAATCTTCTGGAGAAGCACCTCACTTGCCCCCTCCTTCTTGCCCACAATGGCAGCCCTTCTAGCTGGGAAGAGAGTCCTCTGTTCTACAAGAGGCTAAACATGAGTAATGGCTTTGTCACTGGTGCTATCTTGTCCTTTGGCCATGAGGTAACTGAAAAGATTCATTCTATGTATCTATCTTCAATGCCTTGGAATGAGAGTTCTAGAGAAAAGTATAGAGCCATGGAGTCTTCTGACAAAGTTACAGGAGGTGTCAGAGCTACAGATGATGCCTTCTCTGCACTTGGCCATGGCCCTAAGCAGTGGAGTCCAGAGACTGTATAAAAGTTAAACATTACATAACTCCAAGATCAGATATGCAGAAGGGGTAGCATTAGAAGGATCCTCTTCTCTCCTCATGAAGCCCACAGAATAACTCTTGCTCTCTCCTATGTGCAAACCAGAGGTGAGTTGGACACCTTGAGTTTACATAATGTTTTTTGTCTGAATACTGCAGACCACTTCTTTGAGGAGCATTTCTGAAAAGAAGGGCCAGGGAGATGGGAAGAAAATCAAAGCTTGATTCTATAGCCTCACCCTGATTTTATAACACATTAAGAAAAAATAGTCTATTGTGTCAGTTCCTTTTTATGTGCATTTTTTCCTCCTCTTTCCACTGACTGCTTCTTAGAGGTAACTTAGCAAAATCCCACATTCAAAGGACTTAATCAATCAGGGCTACATTGTAAGATTTTCATTTACTGAAGGCAATCTAGTGAGCAATTTCTCAGAGCTGATTTTTCATTAGAAAGAAGATGGGAAGTTGGGAATTAAGTGGGAACAAAACAAACTGGCAAGAATAGGTACTACAGCTGTTAAATCAAACAACGAGTCATCTGGTCTCATCACGGACCTTCTCCGTGGAAGCTGTCCTCGGACTTTGCTGCATGTTTGTATTCGTGAATGACAAATAGGTTTAGAAACATTATCCTGATAAAGAGTGGACTCACTTTATTCTCGTTCCCTGTCCCTAAGGTCTACCTAAGATTGGAGTTGGGGGTGGATTTTATTAATAAAGACTGTTTAAACATTCCATGGTTAAACTATTTAATTCTTCCCCTTCCTCTTTAATTAAAATTAACCTGACCTATTTCGTGCAGCCCAGGCAAGGAAAAGATAAAATTTGCCTTCTATTCTGGTGGTATTAGTGTGAAATGTCTGCTTCATCACAAAGTAAACTCACAGGGAAATTTAAAATTAAGCCAAATAATATCACAAGTCAGGTGGGTAATAATTTCTTCCCCTATTCTTGCATCCTTTTTCTCCAGCCTTAAATTTTCCATAAGGAAAAAAAAAATGTAACAACAGAGAAAAAGAGCAAAAGAGAAAAATATTAAGAAAAACACAATGGCATGAAAATACGTAAAACTTTCTTTGGCCAAATCGCTGCTGGTGGCAGGTGTATCTGTGTGGAAAATACAGCATTTTTTCCTCCATTAATTCACTATATTTATTAAGCACCCAGTGTCCAACTGCTATAGGAGAGACAAGCAAAATGATTTGAGAAGGTCATGGGCCATAAACTCAAATGGCTATAGGACATGGGCAGGTGTCATGAATCTGTGACTGTTACCAAGGCAATAAGGATGACCAAGGCAAACAGGAGAATGCTTGCTCTGTCTAACACATTCACGTTTAATTAAAAAAACTCTCAAGGCCTGCTATGGGCTTTCAGTGTTCCATCCCTAGAACATGAAGGAGGAAGTCAACTCTTATGGAAGAGTGGGCCATAAGGAGTGAGTAGGATTTTAATAAAAAGAGGAAGAGCAGGAAAGGACATTCTAAACTGAGAAAACTTCACAAACAGAAGTCTAGGATGCAGAGAGAAAAGAGCCTGTGTGAGTAAGATGAGGGCCTGGGGCCAGTGTGAGGAGTTAAGACCATTTCATATGTCCAGAAATGAATTCTAGATCCCTCCAACTTGTTGTTTTCCCAGGGCACCGTGACTCAGAAATGGAGCTACCCTCCCTCCTGTCACTCTGGCCAAAACCTAGGAACCGTCATTCTCAACTCTTTCTCTCAGGCCCCAGAGAGAGATTCATATACCTAGTGGGGAGCAGTTCTCTTGAAGAAAAGGACTGCAAGACCACAGCTAGGCACATCAAAGTGATACTGCTAGAAATGACAAAGAGAAACCCTGGGGAAAAAAAGAAAGAAAAGGAAACCAGAAAAATAAATACATTACCATCAAAAGAATGACAGTAAGTCTGACAGATTAATTATCAAGAGATATGGTGAAAGTCAGAGGGTAATGGAATGGCATCTTGAAAATGCTGAAAGAAAACAACTGCCAACCTAGAAACGTATTCTCCAAAAATGAAGGCAAAGCAGACTAATTTCCAGACAGATAAAATATGAAAGCATCTGACACTAACAGATCTGCACTAAAAGAAGTGCTAAATGAAGTTATTCAGGCAAGAGGAAAATTACTTCAGACTCACAGAATGTCAAAGAGAATGTAGATCAATGGCAAGGGCTTGTGTAAATGAATATCGCCTGTGCTCAAGAATAGCAATGCTGTCCTGTGAAATATATGAAGGAGTAAGATGCATAACAATGATGACACGAAAGGTGGGAGTGGGAGGAGGATAAATGGATTTAAAGTGTTCTAATATTAATATCAGGAAAGCAGTACAAGAACTAATTTATACTGTACTGGAACAAGTCAAGAATGGATAGTGTAATCACTGGAGTAACCACGAAAAGAGCGGTATTTTATTTTATTTTACTTTTATTATTTTTTGTTGAAACAATTGATTATACATATTTGTGGGGTATAGAGTTGAATATCAGTGTCTGTGTGCAATATTGATGATCAAATCGGGATAGTCAGTATATTCATCATTACAAACGTACTCATTCTTTGTGTCCTTTAACCAATTTCTCCCTAACCCCCCTCCCACTTCCCTTTTCTCTCCCCTGCCCAGTAACCATACACACACACGCGCACACACACGCACACACACACACACATGCACGCACACACCCCCCCCCAATAAGTAGGAGGGAAAAAAATTAAAAAATAAAATTTTATTCAATCCAAAAGGCAAGAAGGGGAGAAAATAAAACATTTAACAAGTGGGACAATTTATTTACTTATTATTTATTTTTATTGAAGCATAATTGATTATACATATTTGTGGGGTATAGAGTTGAATATCAGTGTCTGTGTGCAATATTGATGATCAAATCGGGATAGTCAGTATATTCATCATTACAAACGTACTCATTCTTTGTGTCCTTTAACCAATTTCTCCCTAACCCCCCTCCCACTTCCCTTTTCTCTCCCCCGCCCAGTAACCATACACACACATGCACACACACACGCACACACACACACACACACATGCACGCACACCCCCCCCCCAATAAGTAGGAGGGAAAAAAATTAAAAAATAAAATTTTATTCAATCCAAAAAGCAAGAAGGGGAGAAAATAAAACATTTAACAAGTGGGACAATTTATTTACTTATTATTTATTTTTATTGAAGCATAATTGATTATACATATTTGTGGGGTACAGAGTTGAATATCAATACCTATGTACAATGTGTAATGATCAAGTCAGGATAGTTAGCATATTCATCACTACAAATTGTAATCATTTCTTTGTATTGAGGACATTCAATTTCCTCTCTTCTAGTCATTTGATAACATTCAGTAAATTAATGTTAATTATAGGTGCCTAGCTCAACTGTACATCAATAGGAACTGTTTTTCCTAACTAGCTGTTTTGTGTCCATTATCCCATTTCTTGCCACAAGGACTATTTAAGAGAAAAGAGTAAGACTGTAGATCTGATACAAACATATCAATAATTATATTAAATGCCAGATCAATCATATGCTACTTATAAGAGACATACCTTAAATATAAGGAACCAGAAGGTTGGAAGCAACAGAATGGAAAAGGATTTACCACGTACACACTAACCAAAAGCTGGTGTGGCTATATTAACATCAGACAAAGAAGACATTAAGCAAGAGTGTTACTTAGATAAAGAGGGTGTGCCAATTATTGATTAATTGCCTCTCAGCTCCAAATCCACTCTTACACAGTGCATATGTTTTGCCATAATGGACAGAATTCCTTTAAGCATCTCCTCTTTATAATGAACACAGATGAAAAGGAAGTAAATACTCCCTGTACAGGCATTTAGAAGGTACTCTGATAATGTGAAAATGCTGGTAACTATCTTCAAAGTATTCCTGGGATGTGTCCAAAACTTGGTCACGTGTGCTCTGAAGATGGTGTAAATGTGAGAGGCCTCTCCTGGAACAGATTTCTGCTCATCTAGTCTGACTTCAGCTGTCAGGTCTACCACCAGTCATCTCAGTAAGTAATTTGAACATCATATATTCTATCATATTTTTATTTCTCTGTATTAATCTAACTATTCTTAAGCTGGGTGGATATGTTTTTAGTAGTAGTGAGGAGAACTCACAATGCACATACAAAAAAGTAACATTGTCCTCTGCATTTTTTTGTGGCATTCTTAGTCTCCTTATTTATTATTTCTAATAAACAATAACCCAAATCTAAATACAGCCTTTTACAGTTTGCCTTTCAACTCTGCTATGGCTAATTACTTTCTCTGAGTCCTTGGACTAGTCACTTAATGCTTCAGTGGATGCTTTTGATTATACGTAACTGAAATCCAGACCCAAACTAGCTTAAATGAAAAGGCAATTGGTAGTCTATTAATTGAAAAAGGCGCAGCAAAAGGGCAGCTGTCAGGTCATCTCAATCCAGCGGCTCTCTCTCCATCTCTCTGTGATTGTCTGGGCTCTGCCCTCCTGTGTGAGTGAGCTTCTTCTTCAGACTGGTGGTGGGATGGGGTAGCAGTTCCAGGCATTACACCTGCACACCCTAGTAGAGCTGCACCAGTTATCAATGTATTAAAATACTTTGGTACCAGTTAATAAGTAGCCATTGCTCTGAACCTGCAGAGTACCCCCAATATCCAGCTGCTGTGGCACCCTTCCCCCCAGGACACCTAAAGAAGTGATATACAGCACAACAGGGAATTTCAGACCCTGCATCAGTATTATATCCAGCATTCATTCTGGTGAGTATGTATCAATTAAATATTATCACTACCACCCTGCTGACACCAGCATTTAGAGGAAGAGAGCCGACCTTTCTCTATGTCTTTATAACAGAGCAAGAAAACTTCTTTCCCAAAAGTCCCTAGTACACTGTCTCTCAATTCCCTTTGCCCAAACTGGATAATGTTTCATTTCCTGACCTGTTCCTATGGCTAGGGGAATGTCATACTC